CCTTCTAAAACTGGCATCTGTGTTGCCGTAGTTAAAAGGTGCAACAATTGTGTTTGAAAAACAATCATCTAGGAAATTCTGTTTTGCTTTGTAATGTTCAAATAAAGTGCTCATTGAATCAGATGGTGAGTAACACGAACAGAAAAATAACATCAGCCTACTAAACTAATGGGACCACATGTAGAGAAAATACCAAAAAAATTGAGTAACTAGTGAGATCTTATGACATGTAAGCAAAAGACCAATCCCTTTTGTTAAACCCAAAATGATATGATTCATTAAAAATCTAGTACTGTATTGTGTAAGACAGCAGCAACTAATTATGCCTGGCTATATAAATTAATTAAAATTAAATAGAAATTGACTACTTCAGTTGCACTAGCCACATTTTAGAAGCTCAACAGTCTCATGTGGCTAGTTGTTGCCATATTAGATAGCACAGATGGAAGAAATTTCCATCTCTGCAGAAAATTGTACTGGACACTGCTGGCCTAAGATGGTTCTGTTTGACTCCTGGGTTAGCATCATGTTAAAACATCAGGTCCTGAGGAAATCATCAGAAGCACAGTATGCCTGTCAAATGTAACCGTCCATGGCAGGAAAAACAAGGTTGAAAAAAGAAAAAAAAAATCCGCTCCTAGAATGAGCTGCTATGGTTCAGTATTGGCATTTGTATTATAAGAAAAAGATAAGCAGAAAAATTTTGAGCTTAAAGTATAAAGGAGTTTATAAACATTCTACTTGAATACCATACTCCTCCTTCCTAAACATTCATAAAACATACCAGCTTCTCTTCATCTGCTAGAGGCTGATTGGATTTTATTGTTCATCTCTCAGGGATTCTTCATCCTTTGCTCACTTCCTGCCTCCAATGTTCTGTTGAAACATCTTTGAACTTCTGAATTAATAGAACCCCAATTAAAAATAGGAAAGTGCAGACTCTTCCCATTTTACAAAAAAAAGGCAAGAACTTTATTTTAAACAAATCCTCAGTTGTATATTACACCATGTCCATATCTAAACCAAAAATGATAATGATAATTCAAAGGAAACAGTGGGCTTCTTCAAAGCACGTTATCCAAATATTACTCTTGGCCAATGCTTTAACCAAATACACAGTGGATGTGAAAGGTACAGTATGGCACTTAAATAAATAAGAGCAAAGAGAAAGAAACATATTCACAGTCCAAAGCAATAGATTTCAGAACCTTTGGTATATGTCTCAAATAAGCATCCGTAAACACGTGTTAGCCAATAGTGTTTAGTTTCAGGTATTTTAGGCCGAGGGATTGTGTAGGTGTGTGTGTTTCAAAAATAAGTGATAAAATAATAAGTTGGGATTGACACGGGCTGATTAAGGTCTCTGGTGTGAGCACACAGGTAAATTCAAACCATGGCAAAATGATGTGCATCTGCATTGCACAACAAAACTATGTAAGAAAATGAGTAAGATACACTAGTTAGAAATTATGTGGCTTGGGTAGACACCCTCAATATTAACAACAACAAATACTTTTACTGCTACCTAAAGTCCACAAGCTGGAAGGCAGAAGTATCCCAAAGCTCATAAACACATGCCTTACCGTGCAACAACCATCTCACAAAAGTGTTGTAGTTGCATATTGCAATTCCCACCCGCCCGCCCATCCCCCACCCCTAATAAACAGCACCAGTGCAATTTGAGTTAGAAAATTGGAAATATTGAGACATTCCTAAGGTTTTCATAATGACTAAGAGCCAATCAGTTGGGCTCTAGTGCAAACCTCTGCCATGGCCAGTTTCCAAAAAAAGCACCCCATGTAATTCCCTCTAGCTTGCAGATAAACCATATTAGGTCTAATGTAAGGCCAGGTTCAGAAAAAAAGCTGGCATGCTATCCTGGGTTGAGGAAAAGGGGCATGCTGATGGATAGGGGAGATACATGAAGGATCTTCCAGGATATTTGTCCTACAGCCCAGGATAAAGGGGTATGTTGAGATAGGTCACAAAGTTTAACTCATGCCATTCACCAGAATGGAGCTCAGCAGAGCTAAGTCCTATTCAGTAGCTGTGCAAGTCCACTGTTATCAGGATCAAGAAGGGCCATAGAAGAAAAGGTCCCAAAGAAATCCAACTCATCCATTCATCACCCTACCCAAGTGCCTATGTGGAACCAGTGCTAATGATGATGTGATAACGCTTCTGCTTTTTCTCCTCTCCTTTTGATGCAAGATCTTCTGTTAACCAGCTTTATCCTACATTTTAGTGGTGAGTCACATATGAGGGCAGATATATCCAACCTTGAGCAGTTATCTGTCTTGTGGCAACTTGTAACCCTTTAACCTTCCTAATACCTGCCCTTTCACACATAGGCAGAGTCACTGGACTGAGTCCTGCCAAAATTGGGAACACTGACCCTGGGCAGGTCCTTGTTACGGATCTCATAGACTGACTTCCTCTTGGCCTGAGCCCCTCGAACAGCCAGCTTGATCTTGCGCCATCCCAGGTGGTTGAGTTCAGCCAGGTTGAGCACAACACAGATGCCACTCACAGCAAACATGAAGACTAGAAAGACTGTCTTCTCAGTGGGCCGAGACACATAGCATTCCACTTCCTTGATGCAGGGATAGCGGTTACACTCATACAACCCTGGGACACTAAAGCCATAGAGAAAGTATTGGCCCACCAGGAACCCAATCTCCAGGGCATTTCGGAACACCACTTGGATAATGTAGAAGCGGGAGATGCCTTCCTGTCTTCGAAGCTTGGATCTTGCTGCAGTGCGCAGCCCTGATGGATGTGGAGTCAACTCCTTAACCTCTAAACAATCTGGCTCCGTCTCCTTGCTGGTGTTCTCTGTGTTCTGCAGCACCCCGTTGACAATGGCATTTTGCAACTTCTTATCTTCTCGCTTTCCCCCACCACTGACCCCACCCCCAGTTCCTCCAGGACCCCCTATGGACTCAGGAGGATCTCTGTCCAGGGCTAGGAAGACAGTAGAGTACCGGCGTTCTCGCTGCTTGGCAGACTGGTGCACAGAATATGTGATGAAGCAGAGACTGGGGGTGCACACCATTATGATCTGGAAGACCCAGTAACGTATGTGGGAGATGGGGAAGGCGCGGTCATAGCAGGCCTGGTTACAGCCGGGCTGCAGGGTGTTGCACACAAACATGGTCTGCTCATCATCGTACACTGTCTCCCCCACAATGGCCACAATGAGGATCCGGAAGATCACCACCACAGTCAACAGGATCCTGAGCAGGGGAAGAGGGAGGGAGAGAGGTTCTCACGGGCTGCATCACTGACGGGAAACCCCATTCTTCCCTTCCCTGTTCTCATGTTTATCAGTTCTTTCACAGGGGAGCTGTCCATTCCTGCGTGGTACTGAACTAGGAATCTGGGAAACCTTTTTGTCTTCCTTTTCTGCTGGGTGCTAGCAGGCTGGGGACACTTATTACAATGATCTCAAGCATGCACACCTCTATATACTGGTCATGGTTTATTTGCAAACTTATAGATTTCATTTTTGTATATGGAATGTACAGAGACACAAAACACACCTTTAGTCTGCATATGGCAAGTGCACCCAGAATACCTGTACAGATAGTGCAGCTTTCAAAGTCTACACACAGGATGATAGAACTACTCTGTGTGTAAATTTAATCTATTCTTAATATAAATATTGAATTTAATGCTTACAGAAACAAGCAGCTAGGAACACATATTCATATATGCACAGACAGAAACATACATAGATATAGACTCACAAAAATGCCAATTGGGTGTGTGGATTCCTGACACTATAAGTTTTCAAAGACAAATAAGTTTAGCTTTATAAATATTTGCTGAGAAAAGATTCATCTGCTCTGAAAATCAATCTCTCCATTTGCCCTTCTCTGGCCAAATGCAATCCTGCCTTCTTTGTACATTCTATTTAGGGAACTGGATAGAGATTGGCTCTGACTCTGAAAAGTGGGGGGCAAAGATTGAGCCAAAAACTCCTTTTCTGATGTGGGAACAGTGAACTCCCCCTCCCCCAGTGGTGCTTCACAGGGAAGGGTTGGGGAAGCTGCTCCGGAGTAGCAGGAGAAGGGGGGCGTCACTGGGCGTCGGGTAATCCCTCAACTCGGGAGGAATAGAAGCATTGACCCAACGATGGGGAGGAGGCAGAGGGCGGGCTGGGGACTCGGGAAGGGGGTCGGCCCGGAAGTGAGAAGGTATTCCCGAGGGCCACCGACGGGCTCGCTGAAGGGCCCACTGACGGCTGGCTTGGCGCCCTTACCTCCCGATCATAGTGGAGTGCTGCTGCACCGCGGCTTCCAGCAGCCTCTCCAAGATGGTCCATTCCCCCATCGCTGTGCATCCGGGGGCAGCAGACAAAGACTGGGCAGCACCGGGCACGTTCCCGCTCCTGGCCCCTCCCCGGGCCGCACCTCCCAACTGGGAGCGAATTGCCCCCCCGATTAAAGAAGCAAACAAAATTTTTAAAAATCCACGATTTTCCCCTCCCTTTTATTATACTTAAAAGAGGGAAACCGGGAAAGAAATCCACGCGCGTCCCGACCGGTGGGGCTGCTAGCGCGGTCCAGAGAGCTGGCACGAACCGGCGCCGTCCGGGGATCGCGTTCGGATTCCGCAGTTGCCGGGGAGAGGGGCGGGGCGGTGTTGATAGCGTGAAGGTCCCAGAGCTCCCGCCAGCCAGGCTGGGGTCTCCCGGCGCCGCTCTCCGCCGGAGGGTGGGGGTTGGGGAGGGTCCCGGCACTAGCCCCAGCGCCTGCCACTTCAGCGGGCACCTGACGCTCCCGCGCTGCTGCCTGCTATGCCCGGGCGGTGCACGCCGAGCTAGCTGCTGAGCTGGGGAATCCGCGGCCGCCGCCTCTAATCCGCCCTTAAGTAGTCTCTGCCTGCGTCACGCCAGGTCGGCGGAGGGGAGCCGAGCGCTGCGTGCTGCTGTCGCTGCGCGCCGGAGCCCGAGGGGTCGGGGACGCGCGCGGGGGGGAGAGGGGCGAGAGTCCTGGGGCCTGGCAGGGAGTAGGGCGACTCCGAAAGGAAGAACTGCAGCGCCCCTTGGGGCTTCTTGGGGCGCCCAGGTAACCTCACCTGACCGCCAGCCCCCTGCAGAAGGAGGGGAAGCCCGGAGCAGACGCGTGGGTGAGTGGGGAGGGGCGTGAGTAGGTAGTTTATCTTCTCGGTGCATCCGTCGCCTTTCGCTTTTGCCTTCGGGAGACAACTGAAATTCCTTTTCTAGATGGAGACACTTGGTTGGGGGGGGGGGCGCGTTTTAAAATCTCTTGGAGAGGACAGCTTTGCTGAGAGTGAGTCTGTGGTTTTGAGACTCCGTGGATCTGATGCTGGGGTGAGGAAAACAGGATGAGAGTCCATTTAGGCTGAAAAGCAGGTGTGAAGCTGACTGTGAGAATGAGGGTCTGGGTCAAAGCCTGCGCCCAGCCTACTCGTGGGGTGGCCATGGTTAAAAGTCTCACTTCTCCCAGCATAAACCCAGATACTCTGCTGTTTTTATTTTACTAATGGGAGGAGGGGTACTCTTCTGGACAATGTGGTCTATTCTCAATTTAACGAGACCCAGTATTCCGCTAGCAAAAATATGGCTCACAACCTCACCCACCCCCCACTTTACTTACCCAGCCTTGGCTTTCTTCCCTCACAAGCAATCCGGGTTTCTGCTTTTAAATTTACATTTTGATGTCACTTCTGTCTAGAGCAACTACTTAATTGGTCACTGGAAAATTGAAACAATGACACCAGGCTGCTAATCAGCGCAGAGGTCAGTTTTAGAAGAGAGTGTTTCATCTAAATGCCCCATAGTTTATAGAGTGTTTCATAGAAATGTACCAAAAGCACAATGGGTAAGTAGTTATCATCCTTTTAAAAATACAACTGTGAAAGGCTTGCTAACTCATCTTAGGCATAGAATGCAGCCTTAATTATCCACAGGGATCATAGCACATATGTGTGTTACATAAGCCACACCATGGTGAGCTTTCAATTCTAAAACAGCCAAGGTGGTTGGGTAGTTGGTGGCCCAGACACAAGGAGGATGCTGGAGGATAGGGGCTTGAGCCCACTCACAAGGCATTTCCACATAAATGATGTTTAGGGGCTTGAGCCCACTCACAGTGCACTTCACATGAGTGGTGTTTAAAGATATAACCCAAGCTTCAGTGCCAGAGGGATCACTGAGGTCTTCTCCTAGGGCTGACATCTTTACCCCCAAGGAAGCAGCTTTTCACTAGAACAGTAAAAGAGTCTCCCCAAGATGGAGAAAGGTATAAGGTGTAAATGGAACATTAGGACAAAGGCAGATATTCCTGTTTCCTTCTGGGTAGGGAGGAGACTCAAGGATGGAGATAAATGGGTATCTTATTCACTTGGCTTATGGAGGGAATAGTGATCCTCCTACTCGCACCTGGTATGTTTTCCTAAATTTCTTTTTTTTTCTCTCTGCCTGGGTGTCTGTATTTGCTCCTTTTCTGGCGGACACTTTTGGAGTTAAGAATCTCAGACAAGAGAATGAGTAAGAAAGTCCCAAAGGAGGGCTGTTTAACATCTTTAAATGTACCATAATAAGCTGACAACTCAGTCACTGTATTTCCGCTTTCCCAAACCCTGAAAGATAGTAGTCCTTGGCTGGGGATGTGGCTTAAGCGGTAGTGCGCTGGCCTGTAATGCGTTTGGCCCGGGTTCGATCCTCAGCACCACATACAAACAAAGATGTTGTGTCCACCAAATACTAAAAAATAAATATTAAAATTCTCTCTCTCTTTCCCTCTGTCTCACTCTTTCTTAAAAAAAAAAAAAAGATAGTAGTCCTAAAGACAGATTGGAGAAAATATACTTTAAATATTCTCACAGTGCAACTTTTAAGCACTGGCTATGACTGAATTGTCAGTATTGATTTAATATGTTGAACTATATTTTAATATGCCATGTAGATTCAATATATGAACACACATATATACATCATAGGTGTATAAACACACAAAAACACCTGTACACAGAACCTGCAGTTTGACTTATCTATTTGACTAGGTAGCCACTTTTTAAGGTAAAAACCTTTTTTCTAAACACCATACTTTCAAAACTGTTAACTACTTTCATTTTTTTAAAATTGTGCTTCCTTTTTTGAGCCCTGCCAATTCCATTTTCAACTAATAATTTGCCCTGATAGTGCCACATGGAATACAAAATTTTTGTGTAGAGCTCTGAGCTTCCTTAATACACTATTTCATTTCCCTAGATTCTGTTTCAGGTCTCCTCTGAGATTCCCATTTAAATCAGCAAGGAAGTTCTTTCTATAAGCTCTTATTTAGAACTCATTCTATGATATTAAAGTAATGGCTTTGGATGAAAAACAATAGACTCATAGAATAAACTTCAGTGTGCATTAGAATGTGCATTAGGATGGGTTCATTAAACATACAGAGGCTCTGTTTCCATCTCATGTGTACTAAATTAAACTCTAAGTGATGTTTAAGTAACTGCATTATTAATAAGTTCTCATCACTGGCTCTGATAACAATAAAATTTTGAGAACTTTTACTTCTGTGAATAAGTAAAAGTCACAGCAGGAATGAATCCTAGAAATCAGAAAATTCCATCCTGTTTTCATAGATGTTAACACTCACCCAGAGTTTAGGTGACTTGCCAAAAGTATCTACAAGTGGCAAAGGAAAAAGCTATGAAGGAGGTGATACTAAGAAGCGATACTAAGAGAAGAAGATCAAAATAATTTAAATGGATGAAGAATGTTACCTTTGAGGACAAAAAAAAGGGGGGAAATTAAAGTGGTTTGGATCATGGGGATATAGCCACCTGCAAGCATTTAAAGGAGAATAATCCTGGGTTGTTAGCCTTGCAAATCCATGTCTTACTGAACAGTAATTTCCATTAACAGAGCAGAAAAATATTCTCCACATCTAGGAGGAAAAACTGCAAAGTCATGTAGTGAAGGATGTGGTTGATTATTCAAATTCAGGGATAGAATATAGTTACTGATGATGATCCCATAGGTGTGTGTGTGTGTGTGTGTGTGTGTGTGTGTGTGGATTTGCTATAAGCTTAAAACTTCATTCTCTTCTTAATCAGGTGAACCTTTGAGCTTTGCAACATCAAATATTTGTAAGTGCAACCTCATAGGAACTTTGTGTGAGTTGCAAGAATGAAGGTTAATCTATTGACCTTCTTCTCTACTGGTCCATAAATTCTTGGGGAGCCGAGGACATGCCAGTGTTATGGTGTTTTCCTTTGTGTCTTTAGCATGGAGGAAACCACCATTTGTTGTAGGAGTAGGATAACAATAAAATTTTGGCTCTTCACTCCTCAACCTGGAAGAGCTACATGTTCCCTTTGTAGAAATGGGTCCTATTCAAACCAGAGGGGAGAAAGGAGCTCTTTTTGCCAAGTGAAAGTCCTTACACACTGCGGGACAGCCTGGACCTCTCAGTAGAAGGGTCTTGCTAACTGCCAGCCTCTACTGTTCTCACTTCCATTCTTCTCTCCCCCCATTACGGTCCTGATACTGGCTAAACTAACCCAGGGAGTGGTGGTGAGCATGCAAAGCTTAGGCTGCAACATCAGAGCGGTGGCCTTGGAAAGCTGATCACAGCCCTGGCTACCTCTCCCCTGGGAAGCACCAGCATCTGTAGTCTCCTGGGATTTGTGTGGCTGAGAGGGACCGCATTCGATTTGGGATTGGTCTCTGTGTTAAAGTCTCAACATTTCATTCACAAACAGCTAGGATTAACCAAGCTTTATCTCCCCCAGTGGCCTACATACATCTGTTTCCTAATGAAATCATCAAATTATATTCTGAAGGGGCAAACCCAACATGTCTTGTGAGACTTAAAAAGACATAAGTGACAATGAAACCTATTCCTCTTTGCTGCAAAGTGACATTTGTTTTTTCTTGTGTGTCTCCCTCTCTGTGGTATGCTCAAATGTTTAGGGTAATGCTTTTGGTTCTCGTGGTTAGGCAGAATCTATAGAGAACTATCTCCAAAGGGAATAGCTATCCAGCCTCCCAGTCTGAAGTAGCCCTAAGTATGGTGGCTTGCTTTGTGGTCTAGGGTTCTCCAATGCCTGTTTCTTTCCAACCTATTCTGCCTTCTCAAGGACCCAAATACCAACCTATGTCTTAACCCCAAGAGATTGCGTACCCAAATAATAGAGAAATCTAAAGTATTCTGCCTTCTAGTCCTTTGAATAAAAGGGTATGTATCCCTTTAAAAAAAATCACATGTACAAATTTCCCATTCCCCATCCACCCTGTATACAGAGAATATACCTTTGTGTAGTAATATCTCAAGGATTAACGTAATATGGCATTGTGGCCAAAGCAGATGTGTGAAATCACAGCAAATAAATTAACACTCCATTAAGAATCAAATCAGCCCCGCTGACACATAATCTTTCCCATTTATGTCAAGTCGTGATTCCCATTCACATCGAGAGCATCCCAGGGGGGCTCATTAGACCTGCAGGAAGAGATTTCTTTTAAGTCAGTGCTATTCAAAAGTCATTCAGCTACAGTGCAGAAGAGTCTGCCTGGGGTCTGGGCATCCGCCTCTTCACAGTCTCTTTGTCGCTGTCCAGCCAGAGCCCCAGCCATGCAGGATATAGCTGAGTTTCCTGCTGATGTATTTCCAGTCTGTATAAAAGAGATGAGGAAATTGCAGGGGAAGTGCATGTGGGTAGGACCTGCCCTTGGAGAACTGGGAGAATATATCGAGTGAGTATATTTTATTTTCCACATGTGCCCCATCTGCCCTTCTTCCACATCAAAATGTGTGCTGAAAGTCAGAGCCCGATCTTGGATTCTTCCTGGTACTTCATACTAACAGCCAAGATTGTAATGTGGAATTGGTATGCATCCCCACAGGAACCTTCTCTAAGATCTGAATCAAAGTCCTTCCCTGCTTTCATAATTGTACATGGATTCCCCTGCCTGCTTGGCGTCTTGACCTCCTGAAATTCTGCCAATTTCTGCCTTTGCCAGGACTCTGGGAGCTCAGGCATTACTCAGCCCAGAGGCGTTTGTGTTGATGCAGTTCTTGTCAACCTTCCTGCCTTCTGCTCACTCTTAGGCTCCAACATTCAAGTCTGGTTTGTAGATCCTCTTGTTTCTACAGCTG